GCACCATGAACCAACCCTGCAACACTGGTACTAAGCACCATAAACCAACCCTGCAACACTGGTATTGAGCACCATGAACCTACCCTGCAACACTGGTACTGATCACCATGAACCAACCCTGCAACACTGGTGCTGAACACCATGAACCTACCCTGCAACACTGGTGCTCAGCACCATGAACCTACCCTGCAACACTGGTACTGAGCACCATGAACCTACCCTGCAGCACTGGTACTGAGCACCATGAACCTACCCTGCAACACTGGTACTGAGCACCATGAACCTACCCTGCAGCACTGGTACTGAGCACCATGAACCAACCCTGCAACACTGGTACTGAGCACCATGAACCAACCCTGCAACACTGGTACTGAGCACCATGAACCAACCCTGCAACACTGGTACTGAGCACCATGAACCAACCCTGCAACACTGGTACTGAGCACCATGAACCTACCCTGCAACACTGGTACTGAGCACCATGAACCTACCCTGCAACACTGGTACTGAGCACCATGAACCTACCCTGCAACACTGGTACTGAACACCATGAACCTACCCTGCAACACTGGTACTGAGCACCATGAACCTACCCTGCAACACTGGTACTGAGCACCATGAACCTACCCTGCAACACTGGTACTGAGCACCATGAACCTACCCTGCAACACTGGTACTGAACACCATGAACCTACCCTGCAACACTGGTACTGAACACCATGAACCTACCCTGCAACACTGGTACTGAACACCAAGAACCTACCCTGCAACACTGGTACTGAGCACCATGAACCTACCCTGCAACACTGGTACTGAGCACCATGAACCTACCCTGCAACACTGGTACTGAGCACCATGAACCTACCCTGCAACACTGGTACTGAACACCATGAACCTACCCTGCAACACTGGTACTGAGCACCATGAACCTACCCTGCAACACTGGTACTGAGCACCATGAACCTACCCTGCAACACTGGTACTGAACACCATGAACCTACCCTGCAGCACTGGTACTGAACACCATGAACCTACCCTGCAACACTGGTACTGAACACCATGAACCTACCCTGCAACACTGGTACTGAGCACCATGAACCTACCCTGCAACACTGGTACTGAGCACCATGAACCTACCCTGCAACACTGGTACTGAGCACCATGAACCTACCCTGCAACACTGGTACTGAGCACCATGAACCTACCCTGCAACACTGGTGCTCAGCACCATGAACCTACCCTGCAACACTGGTACTCAGCACCATGAACCAACCCTGCAACACTGGTACTCAGCACCATGAACCTACCCTGCAACACTGGTACTGAGCACCATGAACCTACCCTGCAACACTGGTACTGAGCACCATGAACCTACCCTGCAACACTGGTACTGAGCACCATGAACCTACCCTGCAACACTGGTACTGAGCACCATGAACCTACCCTGCAACACTGGTGCTCAGCACCATGAACCTACCCTGCAACACTGGTACTCAGCACCATGAACCTACCCTGCAACACTGGTACTCAGCACCATGAACCTACCCTGCAACACTGGCACTGAGCAAAGCTCAAGGGACTCCAAGTGAACATCTTCAACTGTCTCTACAACACCTGGCACACCTAGTCATTGTTTCTTTCTTCCCGTCTTCATCACGTCGCTTGGCTGTGTACGGTCATCTTCCTTCTGGTGTGCCTCTGTCACAGCTACGGTTCTGGTTTAACATTTGTTTGTTAGGTAATTTATAATGTATTTCTCTCCTCTAGATGACCAAAAACTCCAGCGGCAGGTCATTATATGACGAATGCTCACGTCAGGAAACACTTGTCCTATTTCCTGACAAAACTCCCAAAACTCTTTTCGTAGTTATGTTTCGTATTCATCAGTAGAAACTCTGCTAACGTCTTTAGTCTCTTCTCTCTTTCTCTTCTTTTTTCTTATGTTCTGTCACTTTTTTGGTATATCTGCCTTACATTTTTGAGTGAATTCTGGTCTTTCATTTCTCTCCTTGAGGCCATTTTTTACATCCTCCTCCGTCGGAGGAATCGACCCATGGACAGATAAACACTAAAATCTAACGTTATCATAGTGATCCTCTATCTACTGTCCAAATTAAGATGTCTCCGCTGTGTGTCGGTGATACAATATCCCAGTTTGATGGGAGTTTCTTCTGCCTGGAATTTCTACACTCATATATCTTTATTATTCAGAGGGATGGAAGAGAAATGGGTAAATTCCTTTGTTAATATTACCATCAAAGGTCTGCCAGGTTGAGTATTAATAACCCCGTCTCTTGCAGAGATACAAACAGGCAGCGCCGCCTACACTTCCTCAGGCTGTGCTAAGCCTGCATGTGTTATCCGGCTTTTATTATATTTTATGTGAAAGTCTGAGGAAAACATGTGAGTAAGTACTCGCACATATTAGGAAACATTTCGGTTCTGGAACCTTGATTACTTCATAGAAGTGATCGAGGTCCCAGGACCGAAAAGTTTTCTA